TTCTACTCATAATTTTTCGAAAAAAGTAAAATACACGAATCATAGCTTCATATTATATAATTGTAATATGTAACAATAAAATATGGTAAAATTAAACCTCCTTCAATTAAAAAAAAAGTGTAAGTGTACGCAAAACGCTGAATGTGTAATTTGTCATTTTTTCGCTTCAGCATAAAAATAAATTATTCTGACCGATAATAAAATTATCATCGTGTTACAAAAAAGTTACAGTGAAATCTTATATCAGTAAACCACTGGAAAATTTTATTTTCTACTCTAGAGCATAAATTATTTGCAAAAGATTTTGATTTAGAGTTTTCTTTTAACATGTTACAAACAATTAGTTAGTCTGTTACGGTTATTTGCATTCAACTTAAGACATTAATTTTTGTAATTAAGAGAAATTGTTACACGCAAATTTCGTCCATCAAACGACTATTTATCTTTTTATATACTTTTATGAAGTACGTCAAATTCTTGATATTTAAACTTATAGAATGTTATTTGGTCCTACATATATAAAAGAATTAGAATAATGAAAATTTCTATTGTATACGCTAAAACTCTTAACTGCTATTGGGTATCATATAGTTACGTATAACTTGCGTTAGACTTGTTTTATTAATTCGGCATTTTCATGTCAAATTTTGCTTTAATTTTCATAGTACCCTGCTTTATTAGAACCAAATATCTTCTTGAAATCATTCCTACATGTTTAAATTAAAATGGATGATAAACTTTCAAGTTTTAAAAAAATGTATAATACTTATAAAAAAAGTTCTTTGGCGCCATTCAATTTCCAAAGAAAATACGAATTTCTATAACAAGTTTGCATACATCATTCATTTTCCTAACTTCTTAGCCATCATAAATAAATATTTATGTATATAAATATTGTTGAAACATGTGCAAGTTCCTTAAAACTAATTTATATCTGACTGCAATAAATAACCTCAATGTGTCAACAATTTATTAACAATGTCAAAAAAGAAAAGTTTTTGCACTTTAATATCGTAATTTGTTAAAGTAATTTGTTAAATCTTTCATTAAAATTTATAATATTACGATTTGGTATTCGTTCTTGCGGTATAGGTTGAAGGAAGTGTGTATATGATCAAAAACATTTAAACACGTGTCTTCAGCTACTTCTGTACTTTAATGTTAGTACGCATATTAAGTATACATTTTTGTAAAGACAAAAACCAATTTTTAATGATATAAGATGTATAAAATTTTAATAACAAAATTAAAGATTAATTTTTCAAATTCATGAATTTGGTTGTAAAAAATCCAGTGTCATTTACTTTTTTATGTATTTGCAACAAACAACTAATAATATACATATTATGTAAGTATAATGCAAGACAATTAAATGTGCAACATTGAAGTACCGTTAGCGAGAAAAATAACGTTACAAATTATTTTATCCATATTAAAATTTTTTCCCTAACATAACGAAAGTTGCGAAGAAAACTTTTTGTCTAATTTACTTCTCATTAGAATTTTTCTGAAGAAAACATATCCAATGTACTGATTTAAAAAAACTTAAGTAACATATACATACAAATGTATACATATAATCCAATAATTCGAAAAATATTCTTAAAGATCATATTATGTACCTACTTAGCTACGTGTGTTAGAGAAAATCAATTTTCCATATTATTGACATTTTTGTTTTCCGTCACTTTACTCTCCTACTACAAAAGCCAACAATATAACAGAGAAAATAATAATTATCTGAGATGTTTTAAGTTTAAAAAAACAAAAAAAAATAAAAGTATAACAATAATAACCGCAACCGCACTTTAAGTATAGATTGTGGTTCTACAAAATGTACAAATATTTCTGTAATTGAAGACAGTTTCAAAGAAAATAATTATATTGAATAATTTTCATTTCATCTCATTATGTTTTAACAATTTTTAATTATCTTTTCAAGAATTAAAACTAAACAAAGAAAATTGAAATACTTTAGAACTAGGATACTCTAATTTAAAGCACACAACAATATTGTATATTATAATTGCTTTTCAAGATTATAATGCAGAAGGAAGAGACAAATAAAGCAAAATAGAAAAGAAAAGAAAAGAAATTTCTAAAGAATTAATACACAATATAGTTGCATGACATACATACATAAATAACATATATATACCATATTTCTACATACATAATTTTTCTGCAAAATTATATACAAGAATTTTTAATTTTAGAAAAAAAAACAAATGGAAAACTCTTAAACTTTAAGAAAATGAGAAACAAAAACAACACGATAATAGAAGAATTTTCATTTTAACAGCTTAAAAGAGAAGAAAAATTAATATTTTTTTTATTTTACCTTTAAAACAAAAATAAAACAATTGCACTAAAACACAATCATCAGTGTTGAATTTAGAAAAGTGAAAAACAGAGAAGTTATATTTTCTTTAAGAGCAACTACCGAACAGTGTAAGCTACTCAAAACATTGCAAAAATTTTCTGTACAAACAAAATGCTTCCATTGTCGTGAAAATTTAAAAAAAAAACTTAATGAACTACAAATAAGGCGTTGAAGTATAAACAAAAATACTTAAAACACTTTGAATTACTATACACAACAGTTTATTATTCATTAAAAAAAATAAAAACTGAATTAAATATTAAATAAAAATAGTTCTTTAAATTTCTAAAAAAGTTACTTATATAAGACCTATGAATTTGTAGACGTGTCATGCATATACAAAAAATTTAACATTATTTAAAATAAGAAAAAGAAGAAACAAAAAAGTCAAATTAATCTAGACTTCTCAACGGGAACATTAATTTTAATTTATTTTGTCTAGATGGGTAGATACAGACAATTTAATGAAAGTAATACTGTTGACCAGATCAGACAGCCTTTAAGTCTTATTATTACATACTACCCAGAACTAGAGAAATTCTTTCAGACCAACAACATGCACGAGGCCATCAATCTGCCAAAACGATATGTTCCACAGGTTGTGGACTATAAGGAAAAATGGATCAAGAATATGCCAGAGCAATTAGAGCTCAAGTGGAACACGGATGGTTCCAAAACTTATAACGATGTAGGATCTGAAATTTTAGGTATCAAGCCGCATTTTAAAATATTCAGAAGCCTGACAGAGACGTCATTACGATAACACTATTCACATAAAGATTCCAGTTAATTATCTTTCTAGAATAATCCAAAGAAACTTCGCGTATCTAAAAAAATGGATCCTTCATTTAAAAAATGAAGAACAACCCAAATATTTCAACCACCTCCTTTGTAAAGTATAAAATATTGATTTAAACCAAAATTCTACCCTTTTCCTTTTTTTTTTCTAGCATCACCTTGTACGATGCCGCACACAATCTGCAACAAATCCACCAGAACATTTTTAATTTCAAACTACTAAAAACTCTTGAAATTAAAAATAAATAATTTTAATTATAATTTTTCTTGTTTTCTACACTAATATTAATTATTGCCTATTTTAAATAACGGTGATTTTAATTTATACTATTTCCAATTATAACATATTTGTCGAATAAAACAAGGTTCCAATAAAACAATAAACTTTTTTATTTTTTTTTTATTTGATTATCAAATATTGTAAAATAAAAATAATTTCTGTTGCATACTAAATGCAATACTAATGTATACATATGTAAATTAAATTTTTAACCTCATTTATTTAAAAATGAATTCCGTTCAATCTAATTAAATATACGCCTTACAAAAATTCATTTCGTCGCGCTTAATAGACGCGTGTAGTGTATATGTACACACATATTCTAAACATTTCATATTATTTATGTTACAGTGTTTAATAAAAAGAGGAAATCAATATAATATCAATATTATTAATTTTATTTGAAGCCTCCAAATTAATTTTATAATGATCAAAGAGATTGCCATATCACCAATCTATTTCCTTTTCCTTTTACCCACTTACATATTTTTTGTTGATAACATGATTTTCGTTGGCGCATTAAATATTTACTTTTTGTGTTGTGTACCGTTTACCCATTTGAATGTACACAAATATAAGTAGGTATGTCTATACATATGTGTGTATATAAAAAAATAAATAAAATATTTTTTTTCATTAGAACTTGTCATCTTATTAGCTTTTCGAATTTTCTTTTACAATACGTACTTATGTATATAAAAATCATAATTTTAAAAATTAAATAAAAAAACTGGTTTTAAAAAGAGTCATGATTAAAAGAGACAGACATTAACCCTTTTCGTTACCGAAATACGAATTAATTAAAATTAAATATTTTCCTCGTTATTAACTCAAAGGAAATTTAGAGTCAATAGCGAAAACTCATTGATGTTATCTATAAAGGACAAATTTGCTTTAAATCAAACCGACGAATGAATTGTAGGAAAAATTTTTTTCCAATTTAAGAAATTTTTACAATATCAAACATTTTATCTACATTAATTCAAAATTACAACATTCTCTAGAAGTAATAATAACCTTAACTTACAATATAAATAATTTCAAAAAATAAAAATCTAAAAGGGCTTTCTAACCCGAATGGGTTTAAAAAAATCTTTAAACCTTTCAAATAGCCCTAAAAAATTAATAATATTCTTAAAATTCTAATCCGGTTAATATGCAGGACCGGTTAATTTAAATTAAATAGATATACTTAACGATATTTTTATATAATGTATCGCATCGCATAAAAAATGTTTAAAGAAATATCGACATATAAAAAGCCGATTTTTATTGGACACCAATTAGAAGTCTTTGAATTTTTAATTGGGAATGACACTTGGTTAATCTTTGTTTTTATAAAATAAGAAAGAAGAACAATATTTCAAATAATCTACAAAATTGTATAAATTATTCCTATACATTTAATTTTCTAATCACTATAAAATGGGACTATTAAAGTATAAAATTCGCCCATTTGTTCAAAATAAGTCTAACATTAATATTAAAAGTATAAAAGTTTCCATAAAACTACTATAACTCTACAAGCGTAATACTTACCGTGAAACCAAATAAACTGGCGATTATTATAAACAGAAAAACTGATAATCCAATAACAATAACGTTTCGTTTCCGATTACCCACATATTCTGTAACCGATGGTGAGGTTATAAAAGGCTTAAGGGTTTCAGCCTTCATATTTCTTCTTTATTGTTTATTCTAAAAAAAAAAATTGATATTTTATTTATTTTTTACATACACTTTTTTTTCGATTATTTTCAATTTTTCATTTATAAATTCTTTTTTTATTTATATAAAATTTTTTTTATTCACTTATATTTTTTCACATGAATTTCGTGCTTTTTTTTCTCTTTTTTTTTCAATTAACTATTTTTTTTATTCATAATCGTTGGTTATAAAAATTTTTAATGTCTTATTCGATATTTGTCTGCTTTTATTCCATTAATTTTTTATAAAAATGTATGTATGTAAATAAATGTGTACATATAGTTATATTTGTTTATTAATTTTTTTTTGTTTGTGGTAATATCAATTTTGGAATTCATCAAAATACCAAAAAAAAAAGGAAAAATTAAACATCAAAAATGAGATTAAAATCTTCTTATTCACAAACAAACTTACAATTTAACGATAATAAAATATTTTTTTAACAACATTTACAAATAAAAAGAGAATCGAATGAAATAAATAAAATAATAAATTTTACTTATGTTAACATTAATTTAACATCGAATTCTTTAATCGATTATTTTAACATCAAATAAAAAAAAATATATAACACATAATTTCAATTTTAACAAATAAAAAGAGAAGATTTTCTCATCATAGCTCATTTCCCATGTAACATTTTATTTTTATGCAGATACGCTAAATAGGCGTTAACTGCTGTTGATTAAATATTACTAAATTTACAGTAGTCTATGCGAATTCTATGAGAATAAAATTGAAATAAGTGACTTATGATTAACGAACAACTTGTAATAACAACATGGATACAAGAATATAAAAATCTTTTTTCAAAACTATCTGCAGTAACTCTTTTTTCCGTTTTGTCACCGACTTTCAATTTAATATATGTAGTAAGAGAACACTTTGTTAAAAAGAAGAAAACTAGAGGAGAAAGCAATATTCTGAGCAATGACTTGCAAATAAATAAAACTAGCATATCATTTCTGAAGCTCTTCTACATTTTTTTCTGCTTTCATAATACTTTTATTATTTTTTTTCATTCAATATTTTGCAATTCATGTTATTCAACCTTTTGTGAAAAATCTTAAGTTAATTTGCATTTTTCTTACATAATTTACCGAATACTGAAGTAATATTTTAAAGCGACATTTTGTGACATAAACGATTTATTATAAAACAATTAAAATTTAATATTATTTAAAATAAATTACTTATATATAAATTATAATCGCAATTATTTATTAACTACAATAATAAATACTTAATTTAAATGCAATTATTCATTAAATTTTCTCAAAGATATTGTTGCTTATTAGAGCTTTCTCAATGAAAACGGACCAAAACATTTCAGAAAATTTAAAAATGAAGATATTCAAAGATAATGCTTTATTGACCCATAAAAAATTTAATTCTGTTTTAGTTTTTCCTTTTTTAAAAAGGTAATTAAAAATTTTGATCCAACCTTAACAAAAGTAAAAACCAAACTTTAACATTTACAAATCTTAATTATATTTTTAATAGCAAACTTTTGATTGAATAAAAAATAGTTCCTGAATAAAACAAAATATTAATTTTAGTATTAAGTCAACTAATTTCTAGTTCTATATCAAAATTGGAACACCATATAAAGTTGACATAATTAAATTTAATTAATAATCTTATCAACTGGCAACTAAATCGATTCAAATTAGGTGAAAATTAAAAATATAAAATCAATTAATTAATATTCAAAATGGCTTTTATCCATTATAAAATAATGATATACGTTATACTTAATATACAAATAAATGTAAACTATAAATGTATACATATGTAGTAGCTTTATAAGAAGAAATTAACATTTAATTAACAAACCTGTCTCATAAAATATTTTAAACAAAAAAAATAAAAAATAAAAATTGAAAGAAAGCATAAATTTGCAATATTATTGTTTTATCCAATTATTCAAATTATTATTATTTAATATTATATTGCATAAATATTTACGTAATTAATTTAATAATATATTATGATTAAATCTAACAAAACCCAAAATGCTGTGATAAAACTTATATATACATATATGTATGGGTCTATATAAACATTATGTTTTTTTTGAAATTTTAATTTCTTAAAACAAAATTAAATATTCAAATCATATAACTAAAAAAATAAGTTTTTGTTTTTAATTTATGACAATTAATCTTTCAAAAAGAATTGAAAACAGGATTAAATAATATAAACACATAATAATTTATGTCTGTATTGGTTCATAAATATTTATATATATATATGTATATATAAGTCTATACATGAATCTACTATACTGTACTGTACCTGTCCTATACACCAAGCCCTCTTTGAACGTGAGTTATTTTTATTTCAAATAATTCTAAAATATCAAAACACAAAAAAATCACAAAATATAAGCACCACAAATTCGAATAAAGAAAGAGTAATAAATCATTCAAAATTAATTAAGTAGATATTGAAGTTGCATACTGGTGTAAAGTTGCTTGAAAAATTAATACATACGAATTAAAGCGAATTGAAAGACAAAAAAAGTACAATTACAAATTAACAGAACTAAGTATAACGAATGAACAAAAATGTTACATGGGATAATTTTACTATTAAAACAAAATTTAATTTCTTGTTATAATTCAAATAATATGTTTACATTGTATGTTCGTGATTTCTTATCAAAATAATGTTGCAATGTTTAGAAATAGAAAATGCGGTAACAAAATACTGACAACAACAATAATAACAATTAAAACAATAAAAATTATTTCGTACAAAATATGAAGTATTTTTGGTATTATTGAATCGAATTAGGAAAAAATTAAAAAAAAAAATTACTGTGCTTTCAAAAATATAGCAGATCAAAAGATCAATTTTAATTAGATTATTTAAGACTCTTCCTTTTAATATTTGTACAAATTTTTAAATGGGACATCGGCCCATAAATTACACACGTTATGTATATTTTTAAAATTTTTGCTCTTATATACTATGTACATACGTTATGTAGGTATAGTTTGTAACTTAAGTATAGATTATGACTTAATGTTTTGAAAATGGGTACATTAATAATTTTCTTGTAGTGTTGAGAAGTATATATAAAATTATTTAATAAAAATCTTCTAAATATTAGAATTTACTAGAATTTCCGAAACATCACATTGATGTCTTGCAAATTAATCTGTATGAAAAGATATAAGTAGTCACAGATAGTCTTCTCATATCTATAAAAAAAATGTTATAAAATACAAACAAGAGATTTGAAGTTACATTAACAATGATCCTCAAATGGAAACTATTACAGTTATCGAGATAACCAAATTCTGAAAATATCTGAACCACCTGCTATAAAACTCTTCATGGAACCATATTGCACTCTCGTATATTTTGAAAGAAATTAACTTTTAACATTTTAAATTCACAAAAAACTCATAATTAAGTTTGAGCTCTAAACCACCTCAAGGTGCGAGGGTATTTTACAACTTTGACTGGGTGTATACAAAATTTTCAATTACAATCTTATTAAGATTAGACTGCAATATTATATTTTATTAATTTAATATTGTACTAGCAACATATATTTACAACATTATGATATTTCAAATATTTAGCATTCTAATATTTTGAAAACACAATTTTTAAATTTTATTATTAAAATTAATTTTTATAAATTATTTATATGTATTTAATCTTTTTTGTTTTTTGTTTTTTCTTAACAAAGATCAAAGAGATTTTCTGAATGTTAGAATTTAAATATTAAAAATTTAATTAATTAAACATTTAATGCATAATTTCAATTAGATACGATGCTGACACCTTGTTTATTTTAATTTTCAATTAGATTTTGATATGTATGTCAACTATATAACATTTATAAATAACATTAAAATATATTTTTATATTTTCAATGCATTTTTCAAAACCACACAAAATTCTAATATTATTCCTTCTTGAAATAAATTGTTCTATTTTCTATAAATTATATAAATATTTTTTGTACGTTATCGTATTCAAAATGAAATTACTTTTAATTAAATTTTCCTTTCAAACAAGTTTATTTATTTTTAAATTTTAATTTAAACGAACCGATAAAAAACTTTAAATGAAAATTTCATCCGAACGTTTTAATGATCCACGAACGACTGAAATAATTCAATTCAAATTTCAATAATTTTTCATAACAAAAACGAAAAAAAAAATACTGTTGTTTGTGGCTGTTGAAAAACGCGATTTAACGATTTCGCCGCAATTTGTACATCTGATCAGATCAAAACAACAATAAGAACAATAAGAAAAAAAAAATTACGATACAAAACACAATTTTACTAAAAAGTTGTGATTAGTGTGCTGTGTGACTATGAATCTCCTTTCATTTCTTTTCAACAAAATTTTAAAAGTAAACCAACATACGAACAACGTAATACAAACAACACAATTTATTTTTATCTAACTGATTCAAAGCGTATTAGTTTGTTTTGTAGTATCAGTTTTTTCCCTAACAAATTATAAGAATGTCCTATACAATACTGTATAATGTCGAACTAAATATTCATATTCAACAAAATTTGTATAACAAACAATACATAAGTTATGTTTATAATTTATTAGCGCATATTTTATGCTCTTTCATTCCTGTTTATGGTTTTTTATAAAAAAAAAAAAACTTTTTAGAGAATTTTAAAGAACAAAACAACATTAAATGAGGGAACATTTACAAAAATTAGTATAAAAGAATATTTATTTTTTACTCTGTATTATATGTACATAATATGATAATGTATAGCAGGGCTGTCGCTGGTTACAAAATTTAATACGTTTTTTAAATTTATATTGAATTTGGGGATTGTTGTCTATATAAACACATTGAACTCTTTCGTTTACCAAAATCTTATTTCCATGTTCTTGATTAATAAAACAATCAAATAAAAAATAGTCCTCTAATTTATTCGATTTTTTTTGTGCAAAGTTGATTGCAAGAAACAAAATTAAGAACTTTAATTATCTTACAAATTTTCCCCTAATACATATTACAATCGTGCATACTTCTATAACTAGGTTTTAAAGATATGAAAGAAGCAGAACCCATAATTGCCTTCTTTATATAGAACAACTAGTCTAGAGCTGAACTGCAATCTTTAGCAAACTAACCGAAATTAAGTTATTATTAAAACAATTTAAATTACAGAAAGAATATACCTCCGCACATTTATTGAAAGTTTACAACTAGTTTTTTTCTTTTGTTCGAATGGATCTCCAATCTGTTATACGTATATATTGTATAGCAATACTCTAAAATGTAATAATATTTACAGAAAACAATTTTTCATAAATTTTCTGAAAATTTCAGTTTCTTAGGCGTTAATGTTGTTCTCTATTTATTGATCATAAATTTTACAAATTAACGTACAGCCCTGCTTTAAAAGGTATTCCATTTATGTTCGTTTTAATTTATCAAAGTTTTTAAGAAAAGCAAAAAAAGACAACTAAAAGAAGAAAAAGAGAAAAATTCATTAAAAATGGTTAGAAGAAATTTGTTGACTCGAATTCGCTTCACAATGAATGAACACAAAAATTATTGTTTGTCGTTGTTGAAAAGTATCTTGCTGCGCGCGATTCTATTCAAAATTTCGCTTTGTTTAGAATCAAATTTTTTATGTTGTTTCCTTTTTTTTTTTATTTTTCACATTCTTTTCCTTCTTTACTTTGTCATTGTTTTTATAGCTTTCTTCTTCTTGAAAGTTATTCTTTTTAGTTTCTTATTCTTTTCTTTCAATTTTCTTTTCAATATTCCCCATCATCATTATTTTTTTTTCTAAACTATCATAGGTGTATGTTTTACTGCTATTATTATCAACTAGATTCTTTTTAAAATTTTTTTTTTTTTTTAAAAAAAAGAACTCTCAAGTAAACTGCAGCAACTCTAAAATACACCGACTTTAATCACTCAACAAAACACCAACTAATGTTATAGATTGCCTGACTTCCTTGTTTTGTTTTTTATTTTTATATTTGGTTTTTCTTTTTCCTTTAGAAGACCACCAAACAAATTCGTAAATAAAACTAGATTTTCATATTTTTACTTTTAAAAATGCCACATTATAATATACAATATACCAAACAACCAACATCTACCGACCGAATTTTATAACTGAAAATTATTACTAATGGATACATTTTAAAACATAATTTTCAGTTCAGATTTTTTTCTTATTTTTTTTGTTTTACTATTGTTTTTTTTTCCTTTTAGTTTTTCGGTGGTCAAATGAATATTGCGCTCTATATTATTGCAAACAACACTAGGTATGTTTATATAACTTCACTCAATGCTATTCTTGATTTTGATTTAGGAATAAAAATTATATGTACATACGTATGTATATGCAGATCAAGATAAACCTACGAAGATATTCTAACATAATATATGTATATATATCAAGTATATTATAGGTATGCTTTCACATAAATACATAATTTTGCCACATACTAAACGCTCTACATATATTATAAATAAATGGTGTATATTCATATACAACACGTACAGTGTAGTATAGTGTACTCGTTTTGTGCATGCACTTTACACAAATAATAATTATCATAATGGTACTATGTATGCACGTACTATATAAATGAAACAAAAATAAGAGAAGAGAAAAATGTTTTTATAAAAAATTCAAAGGCATACAAAACAACAACACAACACAACATAACATAAAAAAGATATACAGGACAGTATGATGTGTGGCGACGACAGACGCATTATCATAAAATCAGAATAAGAAAGAAAAAGATACCGAAAGAAAAAACAAAAATAAAACTAGCAAAAATCAAAAAAAAAATTAAAAGAAAAAAAAAACAAATTCTCTTTCAACATTATAAATAATAATAAAAATAAGAAAAAAAACGAAATTGCAACAAAACAACATCAACAACATAAGAGAGAGAAGCACAAGCATAAAAAGAATTACATTTCATCTTGAGATATTTAATTCCATCCAGCATAAAGTTGTCATATGTGCAGTTTAATTCTCATTGTGTTTGTTTGTTTGATTGTGATTAGGTACTTTTTCGTTCTTAATAATTTTAGGTTTCCCATTTTTTTTTGTTTTTTTTCGTGTTTTTAGTTGCTGCTGTCTATAGAAATCTGTAACGAAAAATTGAAAATGAAAAGAGAATGCATAAAAAAAATATTATAAATATGTAATAATAAAAATCAGCAACGGGAGCAGAAAACAAGCAAAGCAAAAAGAAAAACAAAAATAAATACAACAAGATTGCACTACAAAAGAAGCAAATTTGACATTATACTGACTGAATTAAAATGATATGATGAGGTTTTTTGTCTTGTCCACATTATTATTAAAATAAAGTTTTCAGAAAATGAATAACTTTAATGCTTCAGGTCGTCCTTTTTTTAAGCATGTAGTTAAATTATACAAGGTGATTCGGTCGACAAACACTTGTCAATAAATTTCTGTATTTTTTTTTTACAGCAAAGTTAATGTTGATTTGGTTTGCGTGACGATGATTTCGAAAAAAATTGAATTGAATTCGTAACTGTGTAAAAGTTTCGTGAAATTAACGAATTGTACATTTTGATTGCCTTGAGTTGATTACGCATTACTAAATGAATAAAATCAAATTAATAATTTTTACTTACGCGGTATAGCCATGCAAGAATCTTGTGAGCTTTTATTGTATAAATTCATATACATGCATACATACATATGTATTTTGTCTTAACGTATATCTTATGTTAACGTAAAATTCAACACTTTTTAATTTTAAAAAACAAAAACTAGATTTCGAGATTTAAACAAACTATTGGAATAAAGCTAATTTTATTATCATATTTTTTATTTCAAAATTAGAAATTATTTTATGATTTTCAAAAAAAATGAACGGCGAGAATCGCACAAAATATTGACGCACCTCTATATAATTCTTAACTTTTGAGAAATAGAAGATAACCTTGTTTGAAACATGTTGTAAAAAGTTATTAAATTGTATCTTAAATATGTACATAGTCATGTATAGTTTTGTACGTATGTGTGTATAATAAAGATTGATGCATTGATATAATACGGTTGAATCTTCTGATTTTGTTTTAGTTTGTTTTTTTCTTCATTATCATCGGTGCTACTGAAAATTGATAAAAATAAAACAATAGTAAAATCTAAAACTGAAATGAACCAAGTGGTTTTACAAAAATAAGAGAAAAAATAAAACATTTATTTTATACAGCGAATATACATACACATGCATGCGTATCCCTACAAAATTAACCACATGTATATAATAAATAATTATATATACAATAAAAGACTATCATTCTCGTATATTACGTAAATAAAAATTATTGAATCTTTTGAATATCGCAATAGTTACCCTTCAAGCCACGAACATAATATGAGTATCGCATGTTATAAATTTACCACTTCGTTGGCAACTGCATATTAATATAGATCTTTGTTTGTCAAAAATCTTAGGCTTATCAAATATTAATTTCCTACAGCACTTATTGATCGAATTCTTTTCGATTTGGATTCAATTGAAGCTGCAGTTCGATTGAATCTCTATACAACTCAACAAATAATATAAACACAGAAACATTCATATAAGGACGATCTTCCAAAAAAATTTGCTGCGATTGCATAGTTTGTACAAATTTGCTAATACCTCTGAAATTATAAAAACTACCTTGTTAACCTGTTAACTTTGCATATTGCTTAACTTTTCAGTATCGTCACTATTCTGATAAAAAATTGGTTTTGAACTTGTTCTGCAAAAAAGTTTAAGATTGTGTAATAGTTGTAATTGTCTTAAAAAAGAATTTTGTCTTCCTAAAACTCATTGAAAATACAGTGTTCAAATTTCACCCGAATAAATGTTGTAACAAAGAGCCACCATTTTAAAGAAAAAACAGTATAAGCAGTTATATACTTATGAACCCTTTTGTTAGCAGTTTTATAGCTCTTGAATACGGTCAACTTTATCCTTTCTTAATGTTTTAGTTTTAACCATATACCTAAATATATGAATACATATGTATGCGCGCATGTAAATGATAAATTACGATAATAATAATGAAGGTTTTGGTTTGGATGCTCCACAATTCTTATAATGAATCTCTATTTGAATTCCAATACAAAAGGAATCAAAATTATATACGAATAATGGCATCATTAACATTGGAATATGAATCGTAAAAACAAAATGTTATACAATTTCAATAAAAAAATAATTAGAAAATCACAACTTT